TATTATTTCAGAAGCCCTCCGTAAACTTATTTCCGTGATTTTTTTTTTTAAATCCAGTTCGACCAATTGGTAGAAAACTCGACACAGCTCAGAGAGACAAGAAGGGCGTTCTAATGAAATTTAAGAAAAAAAACAACTACATGCATGGGAGCAATCTATTCAGCTACTCCTGTTTGTATCTTAATCTGTTGTGTAATTTTTATTTTATCTATGTACCAGTGATCCAGATAACATATTTGCGGAATCGTAATACATTTTCCCCCTTATTTATGCGGAATCGTAATTAAAAAAAATATTCGAGAAATTGTGACTCATTTTTTGCGGAAAGATATTATCAATATGCGAAAACGTGGAACACCGCTTCAAAGTGAAGGATTGGTGATATCCAAAAAGAAGACCAAGGACAAAAAGAAAATATATATATATATAATCTCGTTTTCCTACCCATGTTCAAATGGTTGGGGTTTCTCTCTCTTTTTTGTGGCCCGAACGTAGAAAAGATTTTCGAGTTTAGACAATAGGTTTAGGTTTTTTTCCTGCTTGTCAAACTGTTTTGGAGTCCCCCCCCCCCCCCTCCCGCGTTAAAAATCGATTTTTAAGCAGCAAAAAGGAAGAAAAAATGACAACACGCCTTATATTAAAATTTCCTATGTACATTAACAACAGTTATTTTCTCGGGAAAATAAAAAAACACTAGGGGGCATCCCTGTACCCCTTCGATACTGCATGCTTCAGATCGTAGTATTTCCCGGTTTAATATCAAGGCTAGACCGTGACTGTGACTTCCTGTTCTATTCCTTATTTGGGGGGAGAGGGTAATCTATGTTCAATTTGGAAGACCAATTATAGAATCTGTGCTGTGTGAGTCAATAACCTCTAAAGCATAATCCCCTTTCAATTATTAAATGGATACATTATATATGATATGTTTTAAAACCTATATTCGCTGTAAAGGTCCCTGGTACAGAGCGAGGACAATCTCCCAGCCTGAAAAAACACGATTCTCAATTTTGAAAGTTCTTGAAAAGTTACATTTTTCAAAAAAAAAAATGTATTGTCAATATCATCTTTTACACATTAGCTTCCTTTATTTTACTGAATAATTTATTGATAAATAATTTATTTTTCGCCACGAAGTCTTCTTGTCATTGATGTGTTTCAGTGTGATTAAAATAAAAGAGGTTGTTGAAGCGTATTTTTTTCTATAATGTTCGATTTTCAAATGGAATGGGCTCAGACTCCATTTTTTAAAACTTTAAGTTAATTTTACATTTACTTTTCGGTCATTTAAAGGTTAATGTAGAAAGGGAACTTGTCCCATTCATTTTCAAAAATCATTTTGTGTGGCTCTAAAAAAACAGTTTTCCACTAAATATGCTTTACTTACAACTTTAAAACAAATCATCAACCAATGCCATTTAATAAAATAAATGAATCAAATATGTTGAAAATGCCATTCCTGAAAACTTTATTTTAGAAAAATATAACTTTTCCATGAACTTTAAAGATTGAGAAATTTATTATCTCAGAGCGGGTGATTGTCCCCGCCTTATACGCCCCGTTTCTTTTAAGATGTCTTTTAGGTTTCACAATAATGTGCATTATAAATCACTATCGTTATTTTGATCTAACTTTACCATGATATTTTAGTAGGGATATTTCCTACAGCTGATTGATTGATTGTGTGTATTTTTGTCCCATTCGAGAATTTCCTACAGTTGAAGTCAAGCTTTTATCATTTAAAATTTACAGCATACCCCCGACAAACATTTATCTGCTTTTATATGCATCGTACATCAGTTTGCATTGGTCTATAATTCTTACCCAATTTGATCTTCCCCTTAACTCGTTCTCCCAAGCAGAATAACATGTTATATAGTTTTATCATATCTCTACTGATTTTTTCCCTATAGAACATTAGATCGTTAGATGTGACTAATTCCCTAGAAATCGTAATGAATGGATTAGTCCCCGTGCGTTAGTCAAGTGAGCTAATCCCTGCTTCGAAAGCTAATTCCCGGTTATCCGTAATCCTCTAGATTTTACTTTTACATTGGTATGATATGTGAATGGACTAATCCCCGTGTGTTAGTTAGTTAGTGAGCTAATCCCTGCTATGAAATCATGCTATCTGAATCCTCTAACTCTAAATTTAAGTTTTTATCAGTATAATAAAACAGTTAAAAGTATATCATTACGGGAGTTAGCAAGATTTCAGTTCCTCTCGACCAGGACTATTTCCCTCGGCTTCACCTCGGTAAATAGTCTTGGCCTTGGGGAACTGGAATCTTGCTAACTCCCTCAGTGGTATATTTTAACTGTATAAGTATCCACCATTCTGGTCATGAAAAGCATTTCTAGATATTTAATACTGCAAAAGTTATGTAGTTTTATTCTGCAATCTAACGAAAAAATAAACATATACAAAGAAAATTAAATTTCTGTTTATTTCAAAAATAAAAATCATCATAAATTGTGCTTATTCAAAATTCAGTCAAAATATGATCTATTCATGTAGCTTACATTACATTAGAAATTCAAACACATGCAAGTTTATCAATAGAGGTTGATATAATATTATATTTAGCAATGTTTTAATAATTATAAACACATCATAAAAAAGTGTCTTTTTATATTATGCTCACACATAGCAAGAGGCTACTCTAACTTACACAGTAAGTCAACACTCTTCTAAACTAACTCAACATGAAAACACATAATGAGCTACACTACTTACACACATATTGAGTCACTACATGACTATTACACATAAAAATAACAATATTAGCACACAAAATGAGCTACATGTACACTACCGCAGGTAAAATTCTACATTCCCAACACAAAATGAATCCCATGCTACATGTACAACAAACAAATCAAAATAACAATACAAAATATGTATTACAAATACATGTAACAATATTAAAACTTACAATGAGCTATACCAGTAACACACATAAAATTATACATTCCCAACAAATGAGTCACCATACTACATGTACAACTCACATAACAAATAACAAAAGTACCACACATAATAAGCTACACTACTAACACACATGTCGAGTCACTACAGAACTAACACACATGTCAAGTAACTACACTACTTACACACATGTCAAGACACTACACTACTTACACACATGTTGAGTCACTACACTACTGATATATACCTTACAAATAACAATTTTAAATCACACGATGAGCAATACAAGTAACACACATAAAATTATACATTCCCAACACACGAATCACCATACTACATGTACGACTCACATAACAAATAACAAAATTACCACACATAATAAGCTACACTACTAACACACATGTTGATTCACTACACTACTAACACACATGTCGAGTCACTACACTACTTACACACATGTCGAGTCACTACACTTCTAATATATAACTTACAAATAACAGTTTTAAATCGCACGATGAGTTATACAAGTAACACATTTAAAATTATACAATCCTGACACACCAGTCACCATACTACATGTACAACTCACATAACAAATAACAAAATTACCACACATCATAAGCTACACTCATAAAACACATGCCGAGTCACTACACTACTAACACACATTTTGAGTCACTACACTACTTACACACATATCGAGTCACTACACTTCTAATATATACCTTACAAATAACAGTTTTAAATCGCACAATGAGTTATACAAGTAACACATTTAATATTATACAATCCCGACACACCAGTCACCATACTACATGTACAACTCACATAACAAATAACAAAATTACCACACATCATAAGCTACACTCATAACACACATGTCGAGTCACTACACTACTTACATACATGTCGAGTCACTACACTACTTACACACATGTCGAGAAATTCGCTGGATTAGACGACATTCCGGATTAGACAACATTTAAAACAATTGAGTCTACTGCAGGTGACTTAAAGTTAACATTGTATAAGTCAAGTTTTTGGAGTACACAACATCCGAATAAGACAAGTTTCACTGTATATTACAAATAACAATATAAGAACACATGAGGAGCTTTACCAATAACACACATAAAATCACATATTCCCCACACGTAATGAGTCAACATACTACATGTACAACACACATAACAAATAACAAAATTACCACACATAAAAAGCTACACTACAAACACACATGTCGAGTCTGTGACTACACTATTAACACACATGTCGAGTCACTACACTTCTAATATATACATTACAAATAACAACATTAAATCACATGATGAGCTATACCAGTAACACACATAAAACAAGAAGTCTGTGAGCCAATGCTCACTCAGGTAATACCTCCGCTGTGATTTGAATATACACTATCATGTGTATATTCACAAGTTCAACTATGGACAGATGCATGAATAAACAGGAAGTTGACATCAGATTCATACAAAAATGAATCCCACCATATGACAATTATGCGTCAACAAAGAGTGTGCTAAAATTTCAAGCATCTGCAATGAGTTGTTGCTGAGAAAACTTTGACAAAAATTTGTTCCATATTATACAGACAGACGCACAGTTAAACAGGAAGTTGACATCAAATTCAGAAATGAATCCCATCATATGGCATGCCTAAACAAAGAGTGTGTAAACTTTCATGCATCTGCAATAAGTAGTTGATGAGAAACTGCAACAAATATTTGTTATATATGGTATAGACAGACACACAGATAAACAGGAAGTTGACATCAGACTTGTACAAAAATAAATCCCACGATATGGCATGCCAAAATAAAGAATGTGCTAAAATTTCAAGCATCTGCTCTGAGTAATTGCTGAAAAAACTGCGAAAAAAATTCGTTATGTACGGTACGGACAGACGCACAGATAAAAAGGAAGTTGGCATCAAATTCATACAAAAATGAATCCCACCATATGACATGCCTCAGCAATGAGTGTGCTAAAATTTCAAGCAATAAGTAGTGCTTAGAAAACTGCGACGAAAATGTGTTATGTGTGGTATGGACAGACAAATGGATAAACAGGAAGTTGACATCAGATTTGTATGAAAATGATTCCCACCAAGCCTAAACAAAGAGTATGCTAAAATTTCAAGCATCTGCAATGAGTAGTTGCTGAGAAAACTGTGACCAAAAATTTGTTATGGACAGTCAGACAGACACACACACAGCTAGACAGACAAGGGTAAAACAGTATCTTTTGGAGCAGGAATATAATAATACATTCCCAACACATGAGTCACCATACTACATGTACAACACACATAACAAATAACAAAATTACCACACATAATAAGCTACACTACTAACACACATGTCGAGTCACTACACTACTAACACACATGTCGAGTCACTACACTACTAACACACATGTCGAGTCACTACACTAATAAAATATACATTACAAAAAAAATTATTAAAACACACAATGAGCTATACCAGTAACACACATCAAATTAAAATATACTTTCCCAACACATGAGTTGCCATACTACATATACAACAACCATAACAAATAACAAAAATACCACATATAATAAGCTACACTTCAAACACACATGTCGAGTCACTACACTACTAACACACATGTCATGTCACTACACACTAACATACTTGTGGAGTCACTACAATACTAATATATACACTACAAATAACTATATTAAAACACACACAATGAGTTATACAAGTAACACACATAAAATTATACATTCCCAACACATGAGTCACCATACTACATGTACAACTCACATAACAAATAACAAAATTACCACACATAATAAGCTACACTACTAACACACATGTCGAGTCACTACACTACTAACACACATGTTGAGTCACTTTACTACTAATATATACATTACAAATAACCATTTTAAATCACACGATGAGGCATATCAGTAACATACATAAAATTATACATTCCTAACACATGAATCACCATACTACATACGTACACAAAATAACCACACATCATAAGCTACACTCATAACACACATGTCGAGTCACTACACTACTTACACACATGTCGAGTCACTACACTACTAATATGTATTACAAAAAACAATATTTACACACATTATGAGTTATACCAGTAACACACATAAAATTATACATTAATTCCCAACACATGAGTCACCATACTATATGTACTATCATACATGTAAAACAAATAACAAAATTACCACACATAACGAGCTATACTACTAACACACATTTCAAGTCACTACACTACCATTCATATAATGTTATATATAAATGAGGTCATATAAGGAGTCAATACATTTACAATAGAGTCAACATGCTCCTAAAACACACTTATATTAGGTCGTTATAGCACTTGTCACATGTACTAGCACATGAATCACTATTATGACAAAAGAATTCTTTAGATGTACATGTAGTTGTTATTTAATCTTTGTCTAGCTGTTATGATATTTTAACAGCAAATTTTATACTCTTTCCTGCAAATTCAAAGATTGTTCTGCTTTCTGGAGGGGCATTCAAACACTTCAATTGACCATGTTTAAGTCATACTGACTTATTCCACTCCACATTGGCACTCTATGGCTGTTTTTCTTTTGTCCACACATCTTACAAATGGAACTGAAATACATAATTATATAATAGAACCATTAAAGCTTTTACATAAAAATGAAATAAAAATATATCAGTGATCAAGTTTCCAATCTTAATTAAGACACAACAACACTTCTTTAAAAGCAAAAGGACAAGAATAAATTTTAAAATTAAAATTCCTAAAACAGCTAGTTAACATTTTGTGTATTTGATTTGTATTAAATGATTATCCTTTAGAACTTGTTAGCCTTTTGAATTACTGTAAATGTATAATATTTAGCATGTACGATATTTGGCAGAAGTTGATTACTGAGCAAGTTAGCGGAGATTTGATTTAGAGCATTTGTTAATGTTCTTCTTTATGTGTATTTGTGCAAGACATTTAGCGTTGTACTTGAATTAGCGGACATTGCTTTCCGACAAAGGCACTAAAAAGAATACACAGCGAAAAGTATATTCACAACTTAACAAACACTTTCTGAAATTTTGGGTTATCCTTTTCTTTTGTCCTTGCCTTTGGTTTCCTATCAAGCTTTCCAGTTTAAAGTGCCAAACTTTAATCTCATCTTGTTCTATAATTTACATATCAAAAGGTTGGAATCTTTATAGTTAGGACTATATAAGTACTCACAACAGAATACATGCATCTAGACAAATAAGGATTTTTTCAAAATGAAAACATGTATCCAAGCAAGTCACTTATAAGAATATTATAAATGAAAACATTCAACAAGCTACACAAATTAGATTCATTTAGCTTTTCCTGTATATTTATCTGTCTCTCATTAGTAACATATATTAATTAATGGAGTAAAATGAAAGACCTAATTTTAATTACACTAAAAGTCTACCAAGTAACAGTAATATGTAATAATTAGTTTTACATGTTTCATAATGTGCATAAGGAGATGGGTGAACAAGGCATGCAAAAAGCCTATAGCTTCAAATGTATAAAAGTCATATTCAAATACTGAGTTTAGTATTTAGAGTAAAGTTCTTCTTATTGAAAGGTATAACATTATATTACAAACAAAACTTTTCTGTGGAAAATTCTTTAAGCAAAAATCATTCTATGATAAAAAAAAAAAAGTGGTATTCTAGGGGTTGAAACCCAAGCAATGAAATTAAATCCTGAATATCAGTTTTTTTTCTAAGAGACTAACATGCTAACCACTAAACTACATACATGTAGCTCATGACAAAAATGGGCATTTACATATGTAAATCACGTTTAAAAATGTGGCTCTTGACTAAATGGATTTCAAATATATTTCTGAAAGATATGCAGGGTTTGACACTAAGGCACGTCCGACTGACCCAGTCTAGTAAATGCATGGTCCGTCATGTTAAATGTTCAATAACTTGCCCGACTGGTTGTGTGGATGAAATAAATGTTAACTCTCATTTCAGTCTTTCAAATAAATGCTCTGACTAAAAACTTTTTAAAGAAATTTTCTTAATTTTCAGATTGCAAACACAGCCATTGCTCTGAAAAAGAAAACTTTCCTGCATGACACAATTGCTATTTTTTTTAGACCGGCTGTAATAGACAAGTCACAATCGAAACCTCAGCTTTGTTCAGTATCATTTGGTATAAATATTCATTGAATATTATAGTTTTTAATTTATTTACATGTATATTTACGGTAATAATTTTATTTAAGTTCCTTGAATTAATGTTCTTTAAAGCTTATATCATTCGCATGTTCACTCATTGGGCTGCTACCTATGGGCTCAACAGTCTGTCAAAATGTATACATGAACACATGCGAGAGATACACTGTAGTATGGTTTCAAAACTTTTTTCCCATTATAATAGGAGGTTATAAATAGAAAATTTTCAAATTTGGTCAGCGCTAGTGAATTTATGGTCAGAGCTAGTAAAAATTATGGGAAGTAGCACGACTGATCTAGTACTCATAAAAGTTAATGTCAAACCATGATATGAATAATGTTGTGACTAGTGGTGTTCCAATCATCGATTATAATCGAAAATCAGTCAATTGCTGGCATAATCCAAGCACTCGATTACAAATTTTTTATTCTGATTAATCGGGTTATTTATTTTATTTAAAAAGCGTAATAGTTTTTAAGCCAAATATTCCAGCCGCAACTTTTCTATTAACTTATATGCATATCGTAATGGCACAGACAAAGAGACATTGTATTCATACCCAGGTAACAATGCTCATTCCTGGGTATGGACGTACTCTGGATTCTACAAAATGAGCGTAGAACCAGCTTGACTAGATAGAACATTCTGTCGTTAAAATGATATTGTCCTAAGGACTAGGGGTTGTTCCGAGACACAGTTATTTCAACTACAGCTGGACCACCACAGAAAGTAGTTATTCAACCATTCTTACCATTTAATAAACTAAAATTGACAGACTTTGTAAATGTCCAATTATAATTGATAATTAGTTAGTTACAGTAGCCTGATCATCGATTATGAAATTCTTACCAATTCCCATCACTAGTTGTGACATAAAAGTCTATTTTTAGAAGAGTTGGTCATTTCACCATGTTTTTGTCAAACGAAATAGGAAAAGTTTTAAATATGCTTCGAGTATAATCTTACCAAAATATGGAGTGAAGACCTACTCATATTTAAAAAGTATGATATAGGAGGAAAAAATGACCATTTTTGCCCTCTTTTGGTGTGTATCTGCTATTTCATAGACCAATAATATTAATCGTTATAAGATTGTAGCAAATTGCAAAGATTTTACATAAGGTATACAATAATGTTACATGAAGTATCAAAGAAAATTTTGACATGATTAAGATTTAACTTTTTACATCTTTTTTTGTCACACAATAGGCATTTACTTGCCTTGTTTGCCCATCATCTTTATCAGTAGATAAGGTTTATGATTCAGACGGCATCTGATAATGCAGCAATAAAATGTAAAATGATAGAAATAACTGCACTATGCTCACTTTTTTCCTCCCAGAGCTCTTCTTTTCATCTTCAATTTCTTCCTCTTCATTTCCTCAACTCTTTCTTCTATTGCAAGTTCTGTAAAAAAAAAAAATCCAATTCGATAAACTACTAAACTGACAAAAACTCAATTTGTCAAGTTTCGGATTTTACCAGATTCATGAAAAATCTTGGCATACTGAACCTTTTTAGTGATTTATCTGAGAAAAGAGTGGTTAGTAACTTATTCGTTTTCATGTACCTGCTTGACTTCGACAGAAACGTTTTGGTACTAGAATATGAAATACATACTTTTGTTATTACCTAAAATATTTCCATGACCTCAAATTCACCTATATTTCTTGCTGCTATTAAAGCCTGGTCAAGAAATAACGTTTCCCCTATAACAGGCATCAATTAACAAGGTTATGATTCAAAGTTTCAAAGTGTGCAGCTTGATTCACACAAAAGAAAAAAAAACATGACTGAACAGATTTACAAGTACTTGCAAAGACTAGAAATGTGTCTTGATTGACATTTTCAGCCTAAGGTAAAGTCAGGGCATAGTCATGTAACATGTAACATTTTTCATGATGAATTACCTATATACAGTCCAATCTCATTATCTTAAACTAGATGACACAAAGTAAAAAAAAATAAAGATGTTCCTGGGTTCCAGTAAAGAGTACTCAAATACCACTTAATCATACAGTGAAACCTGTGTAATCCGACATGCATTGGGAGACAAATTTTTTGTCGGAATAGATAGGGCGTCGTATTGATCAGTGTAAAAAAACATAGAAAAAAGTAAAATGGGAATGAAATTTAACCTTGGAATTTACAGTGTGACGGATTGCACAGGTGTCAGATTAGACAGTTTTCACTGTACAATCATATAATTATGGAGATAACGAAGCTCAAGAGTCCATAGAAAAAATACAAATCAGGAGCAAACACGGACCACTAAAAACATCAGAGGTGGGATCAGGTGCAATATAGGAGTAAACATCCTCTGCCAATCATTCACATTTGATGTGTGCTCCTTGTCATGATCGGGAAAACGGAAAAGTCTGTAGACAATTCAATGTGTAAACAGACAATTCAATGTGTAAATAATGGCCAAACAATTAGTATTAAAAACATCAGTCCGCATTCGACTTACATGTAATGAAAGATTGTTTTTGCTGACAAGGTCATTGTATCGACCATAGCTAATTACACACATGCAAGTCACTACATCCAGTCAAAGTTGATGTTTTGATATTTTTTCTCAAAATATTTATGAAAGAATAAGATAAGTACATGGTAATTTTGTTGACTTGAAGAAATACATTGATGGGGAAGGGGGGGGGGGTATTGTGATAATAATTACCTAGTCCTTTTTCATTCTGCCTTTTTCTTTATTTCTTTCCCTTTCTCTTCCGTTCCACCCTCTGGCTCATTATCTTCCATCACTTCATCCCTCTCAGAAATGGTTTCCAGTACAGATAAAGTGGTTGATGAATGACTTACTCAAAATTATGGACCCATGATATAGATGTTGTAATAATGTTACATGACACACACTGCAAGTCACTGTGCCCTGTAAAAATTGTTACCTTCTTCATTTATATTTAAGGATCAAGAACTAAATAAGAATTCATTCTTAAGTTTTACAAAAAACTATATAAATCAGGATTTGAGAGGGCTTTGTAAAAATACTGTGAGATACATAATGTAATAACCTTGTCCTTTCTTCACCTTGTCCTCCTTGTTCTTCAGCTTTTTCTCCACTTCCTCATCTTCCTTCATTAAATCTTCCCTAGTAGCTGCTTCTAGTAGAAATAAATACCAATAAAATAAATTAAAAAAATCTTGACTCAAGAAACAGTAATGGTTACACATATTATAAAAAAAGAACATTCTTAGAATATTTGTGAAGAACTAAATAAGTATTTTAGCTAATCAAAGTAAAAGACATTCCTATCAAATAGAAAACAAGAAGTCTGTGATCGAGCCAATGCTCACTAGTAATTATAATTCCCGCACTGATTTGAATTTGGTATGGACAAGCACAGGGGTAAACAGGAAGTTGACGTCAAATTCATACAAAAATGAATCCCACCATATGGCATGCCTAAACAATTTAAAAGTGTGCTAAACTTTCAAGCATCATCCTTAACAGTTGTTGAGAAAACTGTGATGGAAATTTAGTACGGACAGATGGAGGGATAAACAGGAAGTTAACATGGGATTCCTACAAAAATACATCCTACCATATAGCATGCCTAAACAGAGAGCGTGCTAAAATATTAAGCACCTTCGATGAGTAGTTGCTGAGAAAAGTGCAACAGAAATTTGGTAAGGACATGGATATAATAAATATGACTAATTTAAATCATGTTTCTGTCATTCCATGTAAACTTTGATCCTCTTCTGTGGCCCTACCCTACCCCTAGGGTCCATAAATTGAACAAACTTGAATCTACACTACTGGTATTTCAGGAAGCTTTCAAATACATGCAAGTTTCTCAATTAATGCAAAATTGGTTATTTTCACTGGTTTAAATTTTCATGATTTGAGGGGATTTAATTTGTGATTGAAAAAAAAACAAAAACATAATGACACCATATCATAAAATTTCGATATTTGGTTTCACTACAATGTATACTAGTAGCTTAACACTGGAGGGTTTTTTTTTTATTTTGCCTACCATGAAATGAGACCTTGATTTTTAAGGTTTCATTTAAAACACATGCATCTTTCACTTATAGAGTCACAGCTTAGTAACCGAACAATCTCATTACCTATTTCAAACATCTTGGATTGACAAGGTGCTAGGAACAAGAATTGAACAGGGACCTATTAATTATAATGCGAGTACCGACAACAACTACCGTCTAGGCTACTGTGATTTGTCAGTTTCAGGAATTAAGATAAGGGATATCAATAATGAACACTTAAGTAATTATTGCAAAATATAAAGTCTAAACATTTCGGAAAGACTATGAATTTTAAATTAATTCTACTGATTTAGTTAAAAGTTTTTGTTAGAGACTGATAAAGGAGACTTAAATTTTCAATTCAACTTTCCAGCATCATGTTTTATACAGTGTAAGCATGGCCTGACTAAATATATGCCTGAGAATGTCAGGGTTCAACACTAATGTTAGTCCGTTAGTCTGATCAGACTAATACATTTTCATTTGGACTAATAAAATCTGTCGCTAGTAAGTCCCAACAGACCAATAAAAATTTCTGGAAAACAAAATGAATAAATTACGATTTTCAACAACATTTACTAGAAAACCCTGCATGTATTTTTAGCTTTCTAGCATCTTAGCAGGTAGTAAGGTAATTCTGAGTCAAGTTGGCACTTAATTTTACGACTGACTGATGTGAAATTAAACATTTTAGTGATTATGATTTAGTCCTGTACAAACAATTAAGGTGGATTCCACCCAGAATTTCGTTGGACACCAAGGGTATTCCACCGAATCCACAAATTCAAGGCTCTCAGAGATTCCGCCTAAATTTAACAGATTCCAGTCATCAAATTCTAGGCTGAATTTAGTTCAGTGGGAAAATAGCTGGAAATTATAAAAAGAAATATTTTGGACAGTTTAAATGGAATCTATATTCAGGCGGAATCCTGTTATTTCAATTCTAGGTGGAATTTCAATTTCCATGCAGGCAGAATGACAATTTCCAGGCAGAACTAATTACATTTTCGCCTCAAAGAGCTATATACGGTAAGGGCGTATTCCTGCCCCCATAATAGTCAAATTTTGAAAATCTCTTGAAATGAGAAAAAGTGCATATATTGTATAAAATAACCCAAATTCAGACAATATATTATGAAATTGGAAAAATTAGTTGGCTTTTCTTGTCTCTGTGACGTCACAAACTATTTGGATTTCCGTTATTTTTAAAATAGAGGCCAAAATGCACAGAGTTTGTTCAATTTTGACTATAGTATTTATAGAGCGCAAGCTTGCTCAGGTACCATATTCACATATTTCATTGATATTATCATTCTACACATTATATCAAAAGATCTAGTCTGAGCAGACCTGCGCTCGATAATTTCCAATCAAAATACCGACGTAAAATACGCTATTTTCTCTCATAATCATTGCAATTTGGAATTTACGTCATTTTATTGACGTCATATCTAACTAATGATGTCATAGTTGATAAAAATATTTAATGCTTTGAAGTCTGCAAATATCCACCTGGTTTAGAACATAATTAAAGATTTCTCCATCAAAGTTTTATTTTGGGGGCAGATACTGGCCACTACAGAATATAGTCCTTTCCAGCTAGTCTCCGCTTGGTTAACGCTTGGTTTCTGCTTATATTGCTTTAACATTTATAGTAAGTTTTACGCCTGGAATTTTACTGAGAATTCTGTCTTGATTATGCCTTTTTCCAGGTGGAACATTTTGTACAGGGTATGATACATAAAGATGTCAAACGTTTTGAGTATAATGAACGAGATCAGGAATATGTTCATACTTCCTGCATGATCATGAGATTTGAATCTACACTACTTGAGGATGCTTCCATGTAAATATGACCAATCATGGCTTTGCTGTTCTTGAGAAGAAGATTTTTAAAGATTTTTCCTATATATTCCAATGTAAAACTTTGATCGCCAATTGTGGCCTCAACCGACCCCCAGGGGTCATGATTTGAACAAACTTGAATCTACACTACCTGAGGATGCTTCCATGTAAATATGACCAATCATGGCTTTGCTGTTCTTGAGAAGAAGATTTTTAAAGATTTTTCCTATATATTCCTATGTAAAACTTTGATCGCCCACTGTGGCCCCATCCAACCCCCGGGGGTCATGAATTGAACAAATTTGAATCTACACTATCTGAGGAGGCTACCATATAAATATGACCAATCATGGCTTTGCTGTTCTTGAGAAGAAGATTTTTAAAGATTATTCCTATATATTCCTATGTAAAACTTTGATCACCCATTGTGGCCCCACCCGACCCCCGGGGGTCATGAATTGAACAAACTTGAATCTACACTACCTGAGGATGCTTCCATGTAAATATGACCAATCATGGCTTTGCTGTTCTTGAGAAGAAGATTTTTAAAGATTATTCCTATATATTCCTATGTAAAACTTTGATCGCCCATTGTGGCCCCATCCGACCCCCGGGGCTTATGGTTTGAACAAACTTGAATCTACACTATCTGAGGAGGCTACCATATAAATATGACCAATCATGGCTTTGCTGTTCTTGAGAAGAAGATTTTTAAAGATTATTCCTATATATTTCTATGTAAAACTTTGATCACCCATTGTGGCCCCACCCGACCCCCAGGGGTCATGATTTGAACAAACTTGAATCTACACTACCTGAGGATGCTTCCACATAAGTTTCATATTTTCACGCTCTGTGGTTCTTGAGAAGAAGATTTTTTAATGATGCCATTAATTTTTCACAAATTCTTAATTATCTCCCCTTGGAAGAAGGCGTGGCCCTTCATTTGAACAAAATTGAATCCCCTTTACTTAAGGATACTTTGTGCCAAGTTTGGTTGAAATTGGCCCAGTGGTTCTTGAGAAGAAGATGAAAATGTGAAAAGTTTACAACAACAACGACAATGACAACAACAACGACAGACAACGGACAAATTCTGATCAGAAAAGCTCACTTGAGCCTTTGGCTCAGGTGAGCTAAAAATCTTTGGAATAAAACACTTCATGTACTTTCAAAAAACTATAAAAAGTACATTGTAATCAGTCTTCGACAAATCCCGGGAGTCCGAAGCCCGGGACCTGGTAAAATTGGAAGGGGGCATGTGGAAATTGCATACTTACAAGCCCAAAGGGCATGTGAATTCTGAGGCCTAAGCCTCCGTATTATCAAATTAAGTAATACTAATAACATTAAATGTACTTAAAAGTCTGATTTTTCATCTGAAGTGGAGCACCAAATAAAATTTTAACGATAGTTTATTCTACCACGATTTCCAGGGAACTCTTTTGCAAAAGAAACACAAAAAGTGTACAGGTTGAAAACAATATTAATGGCTAGACAATAGATCAATAGAAATGGATTTCGGATCATTTCCTTGCCATGCAAAGGCAAATAAGAATAAAATTACTTGATAAAATTCTGGGCATGTGAATATTTGTTCGGGCTAGCGTAATAAGTGGTTAAACCTGCCCGAAGGGCATGTACTGAAAAAAAGATTTGGCAAAGACTGCATTGTAATGTTTATTTTTAGATAAATCGTTACATAACACTGATCTTTCCTTTTTTGACGGACTCATGTGAAGTAGTAAAAGAAGGACATGTTTGTTGAAACACCCTGTATTAAAGGGATTTCAACGCTTATGTACATGATGTATTTGTTTAATCATTCTTCCCACCCCAAAACAAAAAAAAGAAGCTTTTTAAAACAATTCTACTTACGCATTAGAAGTACTGCCATCTTTTTTCTCCTGGTGAAGATTCAAAATATAATTAAATGGGTTTGTGTTCACTGGCCAATAGTTTTAAACACCATCTGCAGGAACCATGAAGTTTTCCTGTATCACCATGAACCTAAAAAAATCGATGTTATACTTCAGTATCACAAAACATCTATCCTAAAACATTCACAGACAGACATTACACACATACAAACGTTCCACGTTCCATTTATGTTCATTTTTTGAAAATAATCATAAATTGTGAATTTGCTTCATCTTGCACTGATATAAGTCCCAACATTGTTTAGTTAAATAAATAATACAGTTAAAAAGCATGTTTTACTGACCATGCTGACAAATAATACATTAGACAAAATCAATACATGTATCGATCATGCTATCAATAAAATATGAAAAATGTTAGTGTGCATGTTCACACACACTTGAATAAGGTGACTGACTGCTTCCAAAGAATGTACATGTCCTCATTCATGTAATCCTGTTCCATGATAATAGTTTTCATTTATACCCCTTCATAAAATGACACATGCATGTCACTTACATACTGCAAGACCCTGATGGCCTGTACATTGAGTACACTACTTTCACTTTGAACTTGAACTTGACTGAATACCGATTCCGACCTCGTTTGTGAATTTTTGTGTACATATTGAATCCTTATGTAAAAATATATTCAACTTAGCTTTGAATTAATAAATAATATAAATTGACACATTAATTGAATTTATTCGCTACATACATGTAACTGTAAACAACAGGAGGTATGAGAATTAGCTGTATGTTCATAAGGGGGGGGGTTACTCCCATATGAAACTGTCTGGGTGGTTTAAACACAGGCACAAATTTAGCTTCCATAAACCTGTAACAGACTAGCATTTCTCCTCCTATATATGTAAAATATGTATAGAAAGCCATGCGAAAAAGTGGTCAAGGCAAGAACAGGCATGGGATAATGACTGAAATATAACATAACACAGTTTTACAAATAAACCCTTCACAGAAAGTTGTGCTAGGTTCCCTACATGAACTCATGGATTCTGAAAAACCTGTACCAGAAACCTGTGCCATTTTCCATATCTGGAGACCCTGATTTGGGAAACCGACCATGTCAAAAAATAACCAAATATGGAGTCATGAGATCTGCATGTGCCTTAATTAATTCATCTAGATTTGGGTTAGGATCTTGGAGAATCCCCTGATGTTGCTGTAGATGCCAAATAGAGACTGAATACAAACTTTACAATGCTTTACATTATTAATTTGATTAGTTTTAGAATTTTTAAAGTTTGAAATTAATACATGTATGAGAGTGCCACATTCATTTTTATAGAACTTATCTACACTATCATTTTAACAATTTATAGTAGTTTCTTATTAAGAATCAAATGATTCAATGCACAATTCTATAGTAATTTAACTTAATTAGGCCAAATGAAAAAAATTATGTGTTTCTGGTGACATATGCTAAAAAAAATTAGGCTAGGTAAGTAGGGAATAACTTTTTTTTTTACTTTACTGTTAATTTTGTTTACTTGATTGTTTGTTGTTTAATTCCCTTTCGAGAAATTTTCACTCATATGGAGATGCCACTACTTGTCGGTGGAGGGCTGCAAATTAATAGACCTATACTCCGCTCTCAGTGAGGGATCTTTTTCATGCCAGCACCTACTGCGACATAGGACCTCTGTTTATATGGTCTCATCCGAAGGACCGGTCTTCACGTCCCACAGTGGGATGGGATTCGAACCTGCAATCTAAGGATCAACTCCTTACTTCGCGACTCTAGAGCAAACACTCTAACCACTGCGTCACACAAGCAACACTTTTCATTTTGAAAGCATCAATTAATTATTCTGTACATTGTTTTTCTATCATATACATGTACATAAACATACATGTATATGAATAAACAAACAAACATATATATATATATATATATATATATATATATATATATATATATATATATATATATATATATATATATATATAAGTAGGAGTACTCTTTAAGACTCTTGGATAAACAGGTTTTTACAGTGTACGAGACATGCATTTTATGGACTGCACTACGAGAAAACTTTACTATGAACAAAAGTATGATTCAAAATCTCGATTTGGAATAAAAAGTAGTAGAGTCGGTGGGTAAAATTAGGTCAGCTGGGTTATGGGAAATACATGTTGTTGTTTTTTTCAGCCTAAGTTTGTTCAATTTGAATTTAATAAAATCATAACTTTCTTTATCATGTGATGACACAAAATGAAATGAGATTGTTAACTTAGGTTAAATCATCATTGATCAACAAAGACTATTTCAATGTCTGTCAGCTTGCATTGAAACATCCAAGGATAAAGATTTCAAATGGCTTCTATATTAGACTTACTTACTTAGACTTTTAGTTCAAAAGTGACAAAATTATTCAAGTTGACCTAAGTACAATTCCAAGTGATATACATGTATATTAGTTATGTATCTTTTATAAATTAAGAAAGACACAAGCTATATTAGCTCAGGATCATGAATCCTTCTAATCTGATTTGCACAAAGGAAGTTATGATCATGCTATGTAAAAAGCCGTGAGATTAAAAATACATGTATATAGTTTGAACCAAATCTGCCTCATTCAAATTTTGTAAGTTAGAAACTGTCTTCTTGGGACAAGTATTCCTTGCCTACACATTGGTTTCTGTGCACAAGAACACCTTGCTTTCAACCTCAGATTCTTTGTCCATATCTTGGGTCTGTGGAGCCCGTACATCTTTTCTAAATTTCATATATGGGTTCCGTGCCTTAACTGTGTCTATATACACTATGTCTATTTCACCTCAAAATTTTGGAAGGACACTATATTGCGACTCGATTTGTTTTAAAATATGCACATTAAGCAAAATAAAAGTTGTGTATTTCATAGATTTCAACAATTGGAAATGATAATATTATTAAATTACAAACTTCAACTCAGCCTGAAAGTACAATTTTTTTAACAAGTAGAATTTCTCTTAGCATGCTTACCAATAGACGTACTCAATATATATGGGGTATACAGTCCACCAATACATTTCCCATAGGCGACAATGTTAACCCTTTCTCACACTGTTTTAAATCCTTGCTTTACATTTAAGGATGGAACAACTCTCAAATAACATCTCGAGGTGGAATGTCAGATTGTTTTCCGGCCAAATGCACACATTCGCAAAAAATAAACATCTGAAAATGAAAGTAATTAAAACAATAAAAGTAGAGCATTAACATTTCCAAAATCTAGGGTGTGCACATATCAAACTATACAATTCCTTTCCTTTAAAGTCGCCCGTGTGGCGCAGTGGTTAGAGCGTCTGCTCTAGAGTCGCGGAGTAAGGAGTTGATTCTTACGTCGCGGGTTCGAATCCCACTGTGGGACGTGGAGACCGGTCCTTCGGATGAGACCGTATAAACCGAGATCCCATGTCGCAGTAGGTGCTGGCACAAAAAAGATCCCTCACTGTTCAATGGCCATAAATGCCGAGTATAGGACAAAATTTGCAGCTCTCCACCTGCAAGTGGTGGCGTCTCCATATGAGTGAAAAATTCTCGAGAGGGACGTTAAACAACATACAAACAAAACAAACCTTTCCTTTAAAAGATATAATGTTGAAATCTTTCCAATGAACAGAGCCAAGGGAAAATTGAATGCACACTTTGGTGCTAATATGGTTGATTTAATGACCATTTTAAATTTTTTTTACTTCAGTGCAATTATCATGATTATGGTGCATGGCACAAGCCTTCAGCATATGCCAGCGAGTATGTTAATCTTTCTGTACGTCGATGCAAGTTTTTTAAGCTTTGTACATGCTGTAGTGTGGCAAAGCCTTAATTTGAAGAGGTGTGGAGCAACCTTTACATCTTTTGTGTGTGTATGTGAATTTACAAGAGTCTCACTTAGCCTATCTTCTTTTACGTGTTGGTATCACAGCTGTATCACATATCACGCTCACAAACACCACAGTGAAAGGTTTAAAATATATGCACAACCAAACCTTTGTGAAATATCTGCACTTGACTGATATCACATGCATGACTTAATAATTTTATACGTGACTCGAATGACCTCTGATTTGTTTATCATGTAAATATTTTGAACTTGTCATTTACACCTTTATATAACGTTTCTTACTCTATACTTACCATGAGGGGTATTTACATACTAAAATAAATCACAGAATGACATCGAAGGTATAATCCAATAAGTATTTCTATGTTATTAGGTTCACAATCAAGCATCACGCCACAACAGTTACGATTAAGTAGTAATTCGTTCCGGTGATGACTCGGAATGAAATTTTACACAGAAAAAAAAATGTTTATTACTTGAGTAAATTTGAGTAGAATAGGTTAATCAGACAATTTTTTTTTACTAGAAATAAACATGGTAAATGGAGAGGGGGGAGGGGGGAGGCATTAACAATGTTCAAATAGATATTTCTATATGTAGTCCCTGATTAGACTAAGTGTAAAATTTATGCAGTTCTTTATATATACGATGGACAATGTTTAGCAATTCATGCACCGATCCAGTCCAGTCCACTCATTTTTTTTTTTTTTTTTTTTTTTTTATTTATTTATTTATTTTTTTTTTTTTTGAGTTTTCAAATTGTAGTTTTTCTCGGGGGGGGGGGGGGGGGAATGGACAAGTTTGCGTTTTTTAAAGTTTATCTATTTATTTTTTAAGTTTTGGGTAAATTTCTCAGTTGGATTTTTTTTGGCCCCCCCCCCGGAAGAACCCCCCCCCCCGGAAGAATTCCTGGATCATCTCCTTCTGAGGAAACAATAGTGAACATGAATCACTAACTCTAATGAATAAATAAGGTAAAGTCTTGGAAACCACATTTTACAATTACCGTAATCACACCTCATCAAGTCTAGAGACTGTAATTATTTCTCTTACACGGACAGGTAAGCAACTAATGATTAAAGTTTCCAATCTGAATACATGTACAAAAACTTGCAGATTTTCATATTTTGATTAGTTTACCAGCTTTAAGGACACATACAAGAAGAACTGAGCATACTTTATTTTTGGATGAAAGAGAACTCTAATCTTGTCTACATTAGCCGTAG